CCTTTTGCGAGGATTTCGGCCTCGTCAAACTTTAAAATATGGCCGGGTCCCGTCTAGTGAGCTGCAACCTGGGAGTTGGCGTCTTTCTTCCTCACATTATATCCCACTCCAAAAGTTACATATTGTAACACCGACTACTCTATGTATTTCAGTAACATTAATTTCCAAATTGTTTCGTCAAACTGCTCGGAGAGAAGTGTTAAGGCTGTGGGTCCATCAGGTAGATGCCATACATATCGGCACGCAGGCTTCAGGGGGCTTAGGGAATACATTTGTTACAATGAACGTGCAATACGAATGTCGCACGGAAACTGTGAACAGTACGGAAGGCGGTTGTTAGGAGCGACAGATTTACCTCGGGTGGTTGATTGGGATACTCGGGGGTAAGGCGAATGTCGAAGAAGAAGAGCCCACCCTCGTAGGGTGTACCTGAGGGACCGACTATCATGACGGAGAAGAGGTCCATTCGGTCGGCGAAAGCCTTGACAACTATGCCCTTCGGGAGACTGGTCGAAAGAAGGTCGTTCTGGAGAACCGACAAGAGAAAGAAAAACAGTTTAATTGTCAGTCCAGCTCCATGGAAATTTTACAGCAGGACAACATCTATCCAGAAAAATGAAACATGAAAGAAAGTTTGCCAGTTTACAGGAGTCGGAGGGTTGACAATAGTACTTCCCATTAGGCTCACAAATTTCTAACTGTAGTATGACTATTTAAACTCGTAAGTAACCATGAGTTAATGGTGATTAGCTGGGGTTTAAGACCAGACAGCCTCGATATGAGGCGCAAACGCACAGACGGACATTATGCGGGCCGTAGACAGGACTGAGGGACAGGGAAAAGGTCTACAATAAAGTAAAAGTGCAGTTTAGCATGAGATTGCCGACAAAGACCAGGGAGACCGGAATGGCCATTTTGGCTTATTAGCCGTCATTTACCGATCATACCAAACTCCAGGTTTTGCAGTCCGAGATCCAAACCCACTGGGCGGATCGAAAGTGGGACTTCTAAAAAATAGGTTGGCGGATAGTACTGGCTGATGACAGCTAATAAACCAATAATGGTTGTCTTTTTCCTGTCGGTAGTCACTATGTGACTGCCTGGAAGACCCTAGCTCGAGCATAGCTAGACGAGCGAGTCCCGTAACTAATCGGAAAGCGCCTATCCGCCACTTTATCCACAGTTCGCGTCATTTTTTATACTCCGCAGACGGGCAAAAGAAAGGCTGGGCAGAATTGCAGGTCTGGCCCCTTCTTTTGTCCTCCTATTGTTTTTCGTCTCTCCTCCTCTCCACTGCGTGAAACGATTGTTTTTTGGACCCTGTAGGTTCTTTGACTCTTTTTGTCTAATTTATAACTAACTTTTATAGTACTCATCGTCATGTAACTGCCTGTGAGGCCCTAACTCGAGCCCAAATAGCGCAGCTGGAGGAGTGAGCGCCGCAACCAATCGGTGTGCGTCAATCCACTATTGGACAGTGCAGTGTTCGACATGCAAAAACCGACGGAATCCATCAGAGTTAACAACAAATCCATTTACACATTGAGGGCTTCACGGCACTCATGGTAGGTCCGGTTTCACAATTATTATAATAAGTCGGGTTATCTACTGGGTCTATCTGACATCAGTCCACGGAGTCGACAACTACACCCATTCTCATTCTGGATGAAAATTACCCAGAATCATCTTCGTCACCACCACAATCGAAGCCAACAACACGACCAATAAATCGCACTTGGTAACAGTTCGGCCGTTGTTTTCGAGGATGTTCACCGTGTATCCCACAGCAGGAGGAGTGCAGGGACGTGCGATTCCTCTACTTCGCCCTCACGCTCCGGTGCCCGGTGCCTAGATAGATGCCAGAAGATCGAAGGCGGTATCGGGCACATGTGGCTGGTGTAGTGTGAGGCTGCGCCTAGGCGTGCCACCCAATATTATATTCGACACTTATTATCGGTGCGCACCAACAATGGCGCCTGCAACACCCTGATCTGGTCTCCGTGTTGGTCCAGTGCATCTGCAGCACGGTTCATTTTGAGGCACCAACTAATGAGCAGACCGACAGTTCGACCGTCGCTCTCGACGACGTCCATCATGAGCTTCAGCAGGCTGAAGCAACGCCGTGACTCTCACGGGATTATGGTGAAAGTAGACTTGCGGATAATCATACCCCACGCTCTCACCACTCCCACACCTGAACTCGGTGTCAAGACAGAATCAAATAGGCCGCAGATGAGGGAGGGCGCAGGCGGCTGGCGCGACGAACACTAAACACGCGTACCAATAACACACCTCGCTAGGTGCATTCCCACCTGGGAGCGCGATAAAGGCCACATTGAGAAGGAGCCATTGAACCTGACTCTCAGCCCACAGTAAGCCACTACACGCAAAAAGACACACACAGGACTGGCTGCGGTGTCCAAGTTATCCCGTCAGTTGGCAACTCTCTAAGCCACGGCTTTAAACGCTGCCTAATAGCTTCAAGCGCATCAAATTGTTTTTAGTGAGCAGACCATACACAAAAAACACAACAATATAAGGTTTGAATAGTATAAATA